TTAGGGTTTAGGGGTTGGGGCTTGGGGTTTCGGGTTTAGGGTTTAGGGGTTAAGGGTTTAGGGTGTAGGGCTTAGGGTTTAGGGCTTGGGGTTTAGGGCTTGGGGTTTACGGTTTAGGGGGAGACCCCGATAAGGGCTGATGAGGGGGTCCTAGAAGGGTTCTTTCAAAAGGTTCCGTTAAGGGTTCTGTAAGGATTTGATAATAGTCTTTTATAGGGCTTGATGGGTGGCCTACATGGCTTGAATAGGGTTTGTGGGGACTATACTATAGCAGAAGTGTATTGCGGAACCCTTCGCATGATGTTAGTAATTCTTCAGGCCTCTCCGCTTATCCAAGGCAGGCACCTGGTCAGTTCCCTCCACCAAAACATGTACCACTCTCTTAAACCCTAAACACTAAACCCTAAACCCCAAAACCCAAAACCCTAAACCCCTAAACCCTAAACCCCAAAACCCTAAACCCTAAACCTTACACCCTACACCCTAAACCCTAAACATCCACAGCCCGGAACTGCCGCAGAACTCTTTTCACGCGGCAAGAAGCGCAGAGCATTTCTCTAAGCCCCGACGGCTCGAAAAAGCTTCGATCGGTCATGGATTACCACGACAAGCCCAGGCCACCGAGCTTCCGGTAGCGAGGGCAGCATGCACAGTCAGCTGAAGAGTCTATCACATCCTCACAGCGACGTCGAAGTCTTATCGAAAGTTTTATCTCGGGAGGTCTGTTAGTGCATTTTTGCTAGGGGCCGGAAGGGGCCACTACATCTAAAAGCACTAAGCCCCTAGACCCCAAACCCTAAACCCTAAACCCTAGACCCTAAACCCCAAACCCTAAACCCTAAACCCTAACCCCCGACTCGTTTATTCCCTCCACCCTTCTGCCCGGCAGAAAGGCGCCGGTCTTCGGCGCATCGGTCGAGTTTCGGGCTGGGGAGCAAAGCTGCGGCCGTGGCCTTTAAAACAGGACGAAGGCCTAAACCATCCTAAATCCCAAAACCCCCAAACCCGTTGAGGGGCCTTTCAAGGTCAGGGTTTGATGGGTTGGGGGGGGGGGGGGGGG